TGAAATTAAACCATCGTCACCGTGTACGCACATGTTGTATATGCCGATCGTCCGCATTTGATCCGCTTAAAATTGCACGCGGAAAATTACGGAGTAAGGACATTCAGCGCGCGCGTAACAACTGAATTTCGAGCGATGACACAGTAATCGCTCGAAAAGCGATTCGAAATGACAGGTGTCGCGTGTCCCGCACGGTCGAATAATCGACGTTTTAACGTCACGATACGCGCGTCCGCAAAGTTGCGTTGCACCAATTATCCGTTGCAATATTTGCCCGGCTGCATATATGCGCCCGGCGACACATTTTACAAATTGCAACTGCCGCTGCGCTCATCAAACAAAGATTTAGATCCCTATTCAGGATTCGAGTATCCTGCACCGAAACCTCGCTCCCTTATTTTCTTGTCCTCTCTCTCTCTCTCTCTCTCCCTTTCCATGCGTTTACATCGCAATTAATCTCATGTCGACGTCTCTTTGTGAAGATCGCGGTCAGAGACTTGCTGTTAAACGCTTCTCGCATAATGCTACGTCGACCACCCGCGATTTTCCTCGTAATTTATGACCGCTGCCAACGGATTTCATTAGTGGCCGTGGCGAAAAAAAGCGCTGCGCAATTTGAGCGTAACGATACAATGCTACAACACAGTGGTATTCGCGTAGTTGACGAGTATTAATTCCGTAAAGCCTTCCCTATATCGTATGTCATCGCGTGCGTTGCTCTCTTTCTTTCTTCTTTTTTTTTTTTACGAGACCCACTTTTATCGCAGTTGCGTACGAGTCTCGAACGATAATTAACGTGTTTCTCCTTTCTCCGTTACTTTTATTTAATTCGTTTCGGTTGCCATCGATATTCTCACCTGAGTGTGCGCTTGATTAGAGGAAGATGATGTACCTTGGACAGTCGTACCTTGTACATATAGTTTACATAAAGGATAAACGGTTTTAAATGACACTAAAATAAATTATGCTACAAAAGTATATTAATAACGTAATAAACATTGACACCATTAATAACATTATTTTTTATTGTTTTAACATTAATGACATAATAAACATAAATAATTTATAAACATTTTTGTTATCATAAATTTAATTATTTTTAAATGGAATGAACTACTATTTATTTCAATGATTAGTTATAACAATCAAATAAAAAAAGTTAACTCTTTATTTTTTTTCATATCTTACCTAGAATAAAACGATTCTTCAAATTAAATATTACTTTAACTTTAAAACAGAATGAAGTAAGTTGATATATCGCAATCATGCTGTACCTGGGAAATGTCCAAGATACAATATAGCTTTGGTGATTTAGGTACAACATTAATTTAGAAAAAGAAATATCAAAAATTAAGTTAGTTTAGGTTATGTTTCTTAAACTAGAAATAATATGTAAATAAACTTTAGAAACCAAAAAAAAAGTATTAAATCATTATATTTTAGCATTTATTGTATAGTCATTAGTATATTCAAATAAATTTCAAGTTAAAAAGTTTACTTTTGATAGTGTGAAACCTTAAAACACATCCAGCATTTAAACACTATTTTCTGTACTGTTAACTTGAATATTATGATATCTATTGAGAGGCGCTCGAGTTGAAACGAACGATTTTATCGTTTGATAAAGTATATAATAAAAAAGTAATAACATAGAAGAACATAGAAAAATTGAATATTGTTCTAGGTACAACAGTGTCCAAACACCTTCCCCTACGCTAATGTACGAACTGACGCGCAATTAGTATCGACTTGTTAAAATGAAAACAGAAGCGATCCCGGTGTATTTGCATTTTCGTGTTCTGAAATTCACGAGCCCGAAAGATATAAAAAATCTTCGCGCGGCGCAGTCGGGATATAAAACATTCTTATCATACGACAATCTATTCGTTCGCGACTGAAGTTAATAGCTTGCAACTCGTTCTGCTGCACCAGCAGTAGCTCGTTAGTCGATGTCAAGTAAAGGCAGTTAAAAAATGCAAACGTTTAATTATAGCGCGCAGCATATTCCCGCGGAGCTCCCTTTTCCTTGACCTTTGACGTTGATACGCAAGCTACAGCGACTGAAGATAAAACGGGGAGTCTCGAGAAGAGTCCACCTGCTCGGCAAGTAATACAGAGATAAGTAAATGAAATGAAATCTTACCGGAGATTTCCGGCATAGCGACACGTGGCTCGTCGCGCGCGTACGACACCAAGAGGAAACGTCTCATTCGACTAGACGACGCCCCCTTCTCCGCTTCCATTCTCCTTCTCCGTCTTTCGCGTCTCGACATTCCGGAAATGTGATAAAATCTCAAATCCGTTCCCTCCCTTTTTTCATCGAGTAGCGAGATTCATTTCGAATTCTCGAAATCGTCCCGGATAGTCGGAGATGAAATGTCACAAATGTAGCTGGAAACGTCACGAAAACGGGAGATGGGGCAAATATTTTCGATAACTTCCCAGTTACACGATCGAATCGTACATTTCATTCTCGTGACACGAAAAATGCAAAAATAAAAACTACGCCTATAATTTTTGCTTCATATTTCTCGTGACGTGCAAAAATATCGAATTCGCCGAGATTACGCGGGGGTCTCGGGGGCCCGCGAGTGAAAATATCTGCGAAAAGCACGCGAATCAGAAACGAGGCGTGATCGCCGGTGCGATCGGGATTACTTTTGTCGGCCTCGTCAACTGAGTTTCATCGCCGCGCGTACGTGCACTTGAACTTATTAAATTTGTTCTCCCCGCACGTTCGAAAATATGGAACTTTCGCAGGAGGAGGTCGCGTGAGAGCGAGAACTCGGCTCCTCCCGCACGGAAAAACGAGTTTGCCCCAAACTAAAAGAAAGTCCAGAAATTTCAGGTCGCGTTCAGCACAGCGCGCCACGAGCGGCGTAAGCTTACGCCGTGGATGGTCGAGGCTCCGATTTACCCGCAGGAGGAAGGAGAGGTGAAGAAGGCGGAGGGGGCGAAAACTTCCTCGCCCCGAACTTTATGGAATCTCTTTGAGACTCGTAGCAGCCATTCGGCCCGTGGAGGAGCGGCTCGGTTCGGATTTCGAAATCCCGGCGAAGATAATAATAAGTTAATCCGCCGCTTCCACGGCCCACCCGAAGTTACTCAGACGTGACGATATGGCGCGAGTCTGCGATCCTCGCGCGCAGACCTCCTCCGCCCTCTCACCCTCTACCGACAAATCGCCCGTCTAATTCCATTATTCGACGCCGATAAACTCGACCTAACGTGAAACGAGTTAACGCGCCATTTGGTGGCCTACGAGTGGATAAAGCTACGGGAGCGTGATCACATTAGAAGAATCGATAAGTTTGAGAAGCGGTAGGAGGGCGTCAAACGTGGTAACGAGTTAATCCCTGACCTCACGCACCGCTGTTTCATAGTCGTGGAGACGTTCCAGAGACTCCGGAAAGCGCCTCCACGTGAGAAAAGGGTGTTTGCCATTTACGACTGTGATGTTACACAGCCAAATAATTACAGCCAAGAAATTCGTGTTTACAGTAGGGGGCGAAATCATACTATTTAAAGTATTTTTTAAGTGTTCGTATCATACAAGAAACATATAATGCAATTCGTTCAAAAATGTCTTAATTATATTTTTCACTGCTTATTTATTTAATATATTTACTACTCGCGTTTATATTGAATAATTACAGAAAGTATGACGAAGTACCATTTAGGTAACTAGTACGATTTAAGCAACTTTCTTCTAAATGCTATTACAGTGCCGCTAATAAAATAACCTTGCATGCATATTGCTGTTGCTACTTTTTTTGTTAGATTGAAACATTACAAGCGTCCGCTCTTTTTCGCTATATGTACAAAAAAGTGCTACATTCAAGTAAATCATTGCTCCAATATCACTCAGCAAATTTGTATTTTGGTCAAATAATATTTATTTAATATTATATATATATATGTATGTGCGTATACCAAATATAATATGTTATTTTTATTTGTAAAAAACGCAAAATCTATCACCGTTTTGACAAAGGAAATCGACGTACAAGCGGGGACGACGCACGCGATTGTGCGAGTTGAACAAGTGTCTTCAGTCCCTGCCTTTGTACCGATCGGGAATTAATTCCTCTCTAATTTCGTGTCCTCTCACGCTCGACGAACGTCGCATTGCGTCGTGATCGACTCCGTTTAATTTCATTAGCGACTACCTACTTCCACCTACGGAACCCCCGAACCGCCAGTGTCGTAATCACTCGAGTTTTCGGCGCGAGCAATCAAGCAGTTGATTGAAACGCAAACTTAGAATCGCGGCTTAGCATAACGCAAATCGGCACCCATGACGCCGAGATAAATCGCGCGCGACTAAGTAACCTCTGCCCGTAATTCGCGATAATAAACTCGTCGGGCGAGCTTTGGCGACCGATGGCGGATAATCGCGGGAGACGGAAAATCCGGCAGACGCTAAAATCATGAATAACACACTCGGCTGTAATAGTGGCTAGGCAGCGGTGCTCGGGATCGGCCAGCGAAACTCCCATCGCGGCTAATAACGAGCCGAATTTCCGATTTGCAGTTCGTCGACCGAGCTTATTGAACCATTACTGCGGCACGCGTCAACGGTTCCGCGCTCTCCGCTGGCAAATCGACTATTTAATTTCGTTATCGACGCGTCAATAAATTCGATGTAATGCGAGTCGACCGACAGTTAATTTCGGGCTGCCGCTCCGCACCGCGCGACGGACGCGATTGACGAAATGAAAATCGGTCAAGTCGATTGATGGACGCGCCATCGAGTTGATCTCGCGACGTGATAATTGGAGCTGCCGGATTTCGTTGCGACCGGCCGCCGATTCAATCAATAGACAATATTTCGGTGCCTCCCCCCCTCCCTCCCTCTCTCTCTCTCTTTCTTTTCCTCTCGTGCATTATCGTTGACTGAATAACTTATAAATTGATTTATTATTAATAAATTGCTCACAGCGTGATTTTCTTTTTGTCTTTCCATCGCATTCGAATAAATCTCTCTCTTTGATTCACAGGCGGAGATCGAAACTCGTGATATCCTCCGCGAAGCTTGAGGACACCGGCACATACGAATGCGTGGCTGAGAGCACCTCCGGTCATCGGGCCTCACTCGCGGCCCAACTTCTAGTCACTCCTGATCCCAGAATTGCGGAAACAAGTGAGTAACTCACTTCGCTTTCATAACGACGAGATATTACAAGCCCTTCGTAAGTCAGATGATCACGGTAATTATTCCCGTGATGATCGTCGTAGATGAAACTAACGTCGGACAAGAACATCCGCGAGATGGAACTTCGCAAGTCCCGCTGAGAAGTGAAGGCGGACTTTGTCTATCTGAACTATCGATCAGAACGGTACACGTTTGCGACTATGATAAAACCGGTTGTCGGAACGTGTTAACGGAGTTCCGCCGGGCCGTCTGCACCTGTCGATACCTTGTGCGGAGCTTTCGGAGAATTTCGGACTTCCATTTGATGTTATGTATGATAGTCTCGCTTGTCGCAGTTCGTGAGACTGATCTCTCTATACTTCGGATACGGATCGCGCTGTTAGCCATAAAAAAGATTCTGCAACTCTTTCAAAGCGCCACTGAGCAAGCGCGTTCAGTCTTCTCTCTGCATCTATATACAAAGTGAAGCAATAACTATTACGATTCTGAATACCTTTGAAATATAAACAAAGGAGAAAAAAGGAGAAAGAAAAATTTGTCTGACAGAAATTGCATTGATATCAGTGGTCAACATTTCAAACACCTTTGGCAAATGTAAATTTTTTCATCCTCGTGTGTTCATTAATAAAATGTTTTTCTTTTTCAGAGATATTTAAGGTAGTATTATAATTATTGCCCTACCCTGTATATATATATTTTGAATGCTCTTAAAGGGTTAGGTCCTAAACCGCTAATAAATGCATTTATCTAGGGGCCATTTAACACAATTACGTCACATCACAAAGGGGGAAGGGGGGATGGTAAGTCTATTAGCTTGCGTGATGGCCTATGATGGCAAAGAGAGGAGAGAGGAGGAGTAAAGGCACGTCAAATTAGATGGCGTAACCAGTAACTATGGATGTGCGTGGTTATTCGTTTTGTTTCCATTCGTGATACGTTCGGTAAACATTTTTAAATTTTGACATAGTTTTATGCTAATAATCAAAATGTTGATTTTTAAATATTTTTTTTTAAACACAACTTTTACTAATCAAAATTATAAAATAAAGTAATTAATTTGTTATCATGCCTAAGAATGATTTATATTTTAACAAAAGATAGTAGAAGATAGTAGAACGTGCAATTTAATAATTATTTCACGCGAATATGATTATAAGTTGTTTCTTTCATTCTATGTGGAGACGAAAAGAGAGGGTAATTTTTTATTCTTTTCAAAACGAAAATGAAGAAAGTTTCAGAAAACTAAATTCTGGTTCTTATAGCGAAAACATTTGTTTTCAAACATTTCATTTCAGCCAACTAAGCGGGTCTCTCAATGTAATATTGGAAGGGGGTCCAAGCATTTCGTGACGGAATGTGACGAAAGGGAGGAGGGGGAGTAAAAAAATACTTAAATTTCACTTTTTATTTACTTATCCCGAGAGAATCGATAGACGAAATGTCGCGCCAAAATACGGGATCGATCAGCGAGCATATGCGACGGTCTACCTCCGGATGAGAAAAATTACCGGTCGTTATTGGAAAATAGAGTTTCGCGGCTATATTCGTCGTGGAAAGGGGCAACGCACGGTTGGCCACTTTCGGAAATAACACAGGCGCGCGCGATGCGTCGAATCCGCTGAATCGACTTAAAGAAATATCGACGGTGATTTCACATTCGGCAAGCGTGCGAAGGAATCTTTCAGTGTGAGCTTCCCTCCCCCGATATATACGCTTTCGCAGTGGAATTCCTTCTTTACCTTTATCCGCGCGATAAGTGCAATGAAATGAGAGCACCGGAAAGCTCGGCGTGCGGAAGCCGCTTATTTTTCCGCACGCGCCGCCGCACAGTCGCGAGAGTGAGAGAGCGTCGCCGTTGTGTCAAGAAATTGCACGATCGTCGCGAAGGAAAAAGCGTTCTTTTTGCCCGAGCATTTCCGAGTTTCATCCGCAGGTATCTGGCCAGCGGTTTGCAGCAAGCGCGAGAAGTATATACGCAGCTTGTGAAAAACGGCGAAAACTTATAATTAACGAAGCGAAACAATTGTTTTAACCGGGTGGCTTTTGTGAAAAAGCTCGTGGCCGCAAACCGAGCCTCGCTATTCATCTCTTCGTAAGAAACCTCGGTGCGCGCGAAACAAAACTTTACCGGTAATCTAACCGGAGGAGTTTCGCGGAGGTGTCTTGGAAGTCGAGCGTACGGCGGGCGCGCGTGATCGTCGCGATATTCAAAGCGGTTCGAAAGGAATTCAGCTCCGTCAACGATCGCGTCGGAACACAAGCGACGTCCGTTTACGGACTATACGAGCGATCGCTTCGCCGGCGTTGCATCTTTTACGGCCACCATCTCGCGTAACGATGCACTACCGGGAACATTCGCGATATGCATAACATAAGCGAGCCCGGCCGCTGCGCGTCGAGTATCGATCCCGCGCGACCCACGCAGGTGTTGGCTGCCCTTGGGCCCAGTGGTTTATGGCTTTTCATAATGCTCGCGATATTTGGGCCTTTCACCCCCCGATGTTTATGCTGCATTTCGGGATACGTGCCAACGTGAAGCGCGCCCGAATTTACCTTCCTCGCGGAAATAACCGACTGAAATAATAAATATCGAGATAACAGAGGGCCGTGAGAGGGAAAGGGAGGTCGAATTGAATTCGAAATGTGATTGTGGTATTTTCGATTAGTTATTGCCGCTTAAATAATACGAGAAATGAGCCAGAAAGCAAGACTGTTCGCAGCGTATGATTCGTTTGCAATTTATGATTCGCGCGTGTACAAGAAAATACTTCTGGAAGCGAGCACGATATTCGTTAAATGTAATTCTCGAATAATTCTGGAAAATCTGAAATAATAATAATAATCCCTATTCACGGACAATCCTTTAGTACATAATAAACACGTAATATCGTAAATGGATAGATAATATGGAAAAAAAAAATATATATATATATAAATGATAAAGAAGTTACAGTATATAAATGCATTAAAATAGTAATGAAATTAGGAATAAAGTAAAATAAATAAATATGAAAATATAACGTTAGACGTAAATAAAGCTCATAAATTGCGCACATAACGGCATATTTTAAGACAAATGATGTTCCATGAAAAAAATCTACCGAAGCTAAATATGTGTTAGCAGTCATGTATAATTTGTTCACTTGGGAATACAACTCGTAGAAAATTCGGTAATGTTCTATGTGAAAAATTAGGCCATGCCTTAGGGATTTTGTTGGTATATTTAATATTAGTTCAAATATGCCTAGACAATCAATAATGCAATAGATTCAACGTCGAATAAAAAATATCTAGTCGCAAGAAAAGACGATGGATCTGGGAGATAGAAAAGAGGAAAAAGATGAGAGGAGTTAGGGATAAACGATAATTAAAGATATAAACTGCGTCGCTGGTGCCATTTTCCCGTAAGCAAACATCTCCATGTAATTTCATTCAATTCGCAGTATACGATGTGTCAGCAGTAAATTTGCGACAACAAGGAAGCGAAGACCGTCGGCGGGTTCTCGCCCGGGTCGGGGAGTCGACATCGCAGGTGATAAACCAAGGATTAAGCACCTGATGCGATAATGCTTGTACGGCTCAGTGGTTCCAGCAGGGTCGGTAAAGCTTGCGGTTCACCACCGAGCGGTTCCGCAAGCTCGTATGACGGACAAAGGACGACAATTACAACCCTGGCAGAGCCACGTCAGGGTTTCATATAGCCCTGCTGATGGCAGTCCGGTGGCGGAACGTTTCTGTGCGTGATGATTCCATACCAGTCCTGGCATGTGGCAGATCGCCGATGTGAGGGAGAAAGAGAGATGGATATATATATATATATATATATATGTGTGTGTGTGTGTGTGTGTGTGTGTGTGGAAAGAGAGAGAGAGAGAGAGAAAAAGAGAGATTTTCCCAAAATAATACTCTCGGTCTCGAATAATACGTTTGACAAATTTTGCGAATTTCAAGGTGAACGGAAAAGAACGGAGAATCGAACGGGAGAAATCGAGAGCGCACTCTTCTGTCTTTTTCTCTTACTGGCCGGTTAAAAAAATTTCTATTTAAAATACGGACTCGGTAAAATCTTCATTTCTCCATTTGCTCCGCGAATTCTCACGTCTCTCTGTGAGAATTATATTTCCACAAATCCCATGCAGTTTGCGTGAGAGAAATTATTAAATCGCGTGAGAGATGTTATTTACAAATTAGCCCTCTCTTGTGAACGAGTAGAAAATGATACGTTAGCGAGTGACGCGAAGGGGTAAATCAGGGTGCTTTTTGTACGGGAAAAAAGTCTTAAGTTAGTAGACAAAAAAGAGGTATAATGCGCGGCAAATAAGTATACATTGCTACGACAGTCTCTGTAGATCCTTTCTTGCGCTACAAGTGGAGGCTAATAAATCTTGCGCTTTTTAAAGGCGATCTACGTGAGCGATGTGGCTACAAATTTACCGTATAAAATTTAAACGCCTCTGCAATAGAGCGCGTTTCTTCACTCGCCCATGAAAACTAAAAACTGTGACCGCGCTCGTGTCGCAAATTTTATTCTTCGGTATAAAGATTTAACGATGGTAAGGAAGATAGATACTCCTAATAAAGATAACTATTATTTCAACGCGAGAGAATCCCATTTTCGCTAGTCTGACACTGCGGCGTTTTTTGTCCGAAAAATGCGCCATTTTCTAAAGTGCAATCAATATATAATCACTGGGAAGCGATCAATAGTCTAGTGATCAGGTTATAAGTATAGTACAGCATATCAGTGAAAGTCTTAAGTAACAACTGTTTCTGTCAGAGGATTCTAATTGCAGAAACAAGATATTATTTATTACGTCACTCTCGTTATCTTAATAATTCTTAAGATGTTGTCAATGATTTTATCTGAAATATTCCTAATTACGATTAATTAATTTAACTTATATTTGAAGAATATACTGATTATGCTGATGGGACTCTAAATCTCGAGGCTCTTGAGTCTACTACCTTGCGAACTACGTCAAAAATGA